GAGGCCGCGTCCCACATACAGCAACTAGAAGGATGTGCACCTATGACATACAACTATCTACTGGGGCTTTGGGGGGAAAATAAATAAATAAAATCTTTAAAAAAAAAAAAAAAAAAAACAAAGTCTCCTGTTCTTAACATTTTAGCTCATTTACCATTCTTATTTATCATTCTTTCTCTGTCTCTTGCCATCTCTCTCTATGTGTATATATGTGTATACACACATACACATATAAATGCACACATGTAATTTTCTTCTTAACTATTAGAGAATAAGTTGCATACATTATCACCCTTTATCCCTAAATTCTCCAGTGTCTATTTCCTAAGAATAGAGATACTCTCTTACATAACCACAGTAGTTATCAACATCAATACATTTAACATTTATGGCACCCATATTTCAGTTTTGTCAGTGGACCCCAAAATTTCTCCTTCTAGTTCAGGATCCAGTCTAGGATTAAGTATTGCATTTTGTTTTCATGTCTCTTAATCTGGAACATTTCTTCAATCATTTTTTGTCTTTTATGACATTCATACTTTGGGATAATACAGTTATCCACCTCTAGCATAATATTTCATTTTGGTTTTGTCCACATGATTACTTTAGTGTTCTACATTCTCAGCCAGAATACTGCATAGGTGATACTGTGTCCTTTCTCAGGGTACCACAGCTGGGAGCACACAATGGCCATCTGTCCCCACTGTCACTGGCTTTGGTCACCCAGTCAAGTATAAGTACTAGGTTTTTTTCTCCCTGGCACGTAATAAGCAGTCTGTGAGGAGACATTTTGAGACATATCTTGCTCCTCGTCAACATTTTCCTCCAAGAGCTGGTATTCGTTGACGTTTCTTGCTTGAACCAGTCTTGATTAAGATGGTTGCAAAACAATGCTATTCCAACTTCAGCACCCCTCCACATTAGCATTCTGTTGTAAGCAAGAACCTTCTTTTATCCCCCCATTTGTTTACCTATTTATTATCTATATGGACTCATTAATTCCTATTTTTCATTGGTTTTTAATGAATTACTATATTTAATTATGTTCATGCTCAAATTGTCCCAGACTTGGCACTGGGAGCCCCTTCAAGCTGGCTCCTGTGTCCTGTGACATGCCCCAGCCCTTTATGGAGCACTTCCTTATTTTCTAAAATAAGATGCTCAGGTTCATCTCGTTCTTTCCCTGCCGCAGCCCTGGAATCAGCCATTTCTCCAAGGAGACCTGTTGTCTTTTAGTGTGGAATGATATTAAAGGGTGCTTGGTGTGCTCACTGCTGTGATAGTGTCTGTGGTTCTCCACCCTTTCAGTGGACATAGCTAGGAAATACTTGCATGTATGCACAAATATGCATACACACATGCACACAAGCATGCATGGAAAAAGTCATGAGTTCACAATAGTACCTCCAATGCCAGTGTACCTCTGCGAGGTCTTTCTCTAATGTCCTCCATTCCTTATTTGTATGTCCTTTCTTCAACAGTGGAACTCTGGCGCCTGACAAAATCAACACATTTGCTCATTCCTGTGATATGCCTAAAATAGTTTATTCTTAAATGGACTATAGTTATCAAACATACTTAAAAGAATTCAGGTTCATCCCTCCCACCCATACTATTCACTTTTGATGAACATCCTTCTACATCTCCCTATATACACCTATAGATAAATATACACAATTTTATTAAATTGTAATCACATTATACATATTGTTCTGTAACCTAACTTCCCACCCCCCACTAATGAACATATCATTAACATCATTCCATAACATATCATCCAACATCTTTTTGTCCACAAAATGAGATCCATAGAATATTTTGTAATGGTTGCAGAATAAGACTGTACCAAATAATTCCCTGCTATTGGACTTTACTTTAAAAGGCATCCAATTTTTCACTATTATATATAAAGCTGACATCAACGTCTTTGTAACTAAATCTTAATTATTTCCTTAGGATAGAAGTGGAATCACTGGTCAAAGGGTATGTACATTTTTATGTCTTTCTGAATGGCTATATTTATGCTCTGGCCCACAGTTTTTGAGAGTGCTGATTTTTCTAGACCAGTGTTTCTCAACTGTGGCTGCACATTAGAATCATTGAGGGCACTTTTAAAAGCAATGATGGCCAGTCCTGGCTCTGAGATTCTGCTTTCGAGGATCTGGGGTGTGACCAGGATTTGTAGTTTTTAAAGGCTCCCCAAGAGATTTTGATATGCAGCCAATTTGATAGGTGAAAGTGGTATTTCATTATTTTAATTATAATTTTCTTCTGAAATTGTTTCAGACATTCAGATTTGGGAGAAGTGGCCCCAGAAATAAAGGCATCTGAGGGACGAACAGCTGTGGCCATTGCAGGTAAGGTTAGGCTTGGACCCACTCAGAAGCAGGTATGTTTCTTCTATCCCATTGGAATTCTGGATTCTAGCACTGCCCTGGGCTGGGGAGCACGGACCTCAAAAATAAATAAGCATGAGGCTTTTGTTTTTTGTTATTGTTTTTTTTTTTATAAGAAGATTCTATGTAAGTGTCTTTGAAGCTTCCTTCATATATTCAAAATAGGATTCAGTTTTAAACAGGTAATTATCACAGTTTACCAGGAACACATCACTCCAATTTGAGTGTGTCATAACTGTCACCCTGAGTCATGTTTAGGGTGACTGTCTAGTTTCTAAACTGGGCACTTCTGAGAGTGAAAGCTGTGTGCTGCTTGGACAACAGGTATAAATTGGGAATGTCCTGGGCAGACTAGGGCTTGTGGTCTTCCTGGTCATGGTCCACATAAGCTGGTTTTTCTTTCTTGGAATTTGGGGAGTGGGGCTGTAGCTGCCCCTCATGACTTCAGCTTTAAGGTGTGGTGGCCACACTCTAGACATCTTAATTTCTCTTAGTAACTCATTTTGGATCTCTCTCTCATTAATTTGGTGCTTCTCAAAAGGAATGTGTTGTATTGGATATTAATAGTGTTATGCAAAAATAACCCCACAAAAACATGCAAATAAGTTTGGGTTAGTCAAATTTTATTTTATTTTATTCATTCAAACAAATATTTATTGACTACTTACTAGGTACTGGCATTGTGTATGTAGTAAACAATAATGAATGAAATGGCCAAAAATCTTTGTCTTAATGGAACTTAAATTCTAGAAGGTAGGCACTATGGAAATTAATGACCAGTTGGTCAAGTTTTATAGCAAAGTTGGGATCAAGCAGTAATTGCACCAAGTCCTTCTCTTTCTCAAGATCTAGAACCATGCTCTTCAGTACAGTAGCCACTAGGCACACAATTTAAAATTAAACAAAATAAAAAATTCAGGTCCTTAGCCACACTAGCCATATTTCAAGTTCTCAGTAGCCATGTAGCTAGTGGCTGCATATTGAACAGTGCAGATATAGAACATTTCCGTCATCACAGGAAGTTCTATTGGAGAGTGTTGCTCTAGAAAAACAGGAAAGAAAGCTTGGGGATGGGCTGACGAAAAGGAATTACCTTACTGGATGCCTACTGTGAAGTACGTTGTCTTATTTAGTTTTTAATGACAACCTCATAAGGTAGTTATTATCGGTCTTTTGTTTCATTTGAGGAAACTGAGGCTCGGAGACACTCTGGTCCTTCCCCAAAGTTCTCTTTAGTGAATAAGCCTCCTGTAATTATTTTTAAAAATTTTCTTCCTGAGGTACGTGAATTCTCCTTCCACATATATTTTATTCTTAAGACTTAAAGCAAGCTCTTCAATCTGTAGGATTAAAAAAAAAAGTTGTACTAAAGTATAATATACATATGGAAAAGTGCCCATATTACAAATGTATAGCTTGATAAATTTTCACAAACATGAACTGACCTATGTTAACCAGCATCCAGATGCAGAAGCCAAACAAAACCATCACCCCAGATGCTCCCCTTCTAATCACTTCCCACCCCTCCACTGCCAGGGGTAAACACTCTCCCAACTTCTAAAAGCATAGATTAGTTTTGCCTGGTTTGTGCTTTATAGAATCTTCCTATAGAATTTATTTACCTTATCTCAAGTCTGAGGAGTCTACTTCATAGCTCATTCTTTTAAAATAAATTTAAAAACCATTTAAGAGGATTGGGAAGATGGTGGAACAGGAGGCACGGAGAATCCTTCTCCCCACCTGGACAACAACTGCAGCAGCAGAATCTGTATGATGGAACTATTCTGGAACTCGGGAGTCTGTTGAAGGCTTGCAACTTCCAGGGGGAGACTTGGAGGGTAAATTGCAGTTAATTTTGGTCAATTTCAGCTCTTAGCACAGTAGCAGCTACCTGTCTCCCACTCCCAGCCAAGTGGCAGGCAGCTGTGCACATGATGCTGGAGCAGCTTGCAGGAGCCAGGGCAGGCAAAAAGAACCCTGTCTTCCAAATACTGGGGATATGCTCTCATTGCTCGTTGCTCCTTCTGATCACAGAGGTGCGGACAAAGAGGGGGGCAGCCATTGTTGTTGCTCCTCCCCCCATAGTTGCACCTCTCCCCTCCTCCTCCAGCTGAAATGACTTCCAAGGGATTTAAAAGACCAACACTCTTACCTCCTTCACTTATTGCTTTTTCCTTTTTGGGAGCCAGACATTAAAAACAACTGCATATACAGGGAAAATTAAAAAGTGACTGTACATGCCCAGGAAAAGGCTCAGAAAAGACCTGAGAAGACCTTACGTTTACACCTCAGACTGATCCTCAGCACAGAGACAGCCTATAACAATCAAAAAAACTAAAACAATAACAAAAGACAGCAAACCCTGGGGAAGGGAGAGAATCTGATTTCCAGAGTTACCACATTATTAGATTCAAATGTCCATGTTCAACAAAAAGTCATAAGGCATACAAAGAAACAGGAGAACATGGCCCATTCAAAGGAAAATAAATAATACAACAGAATCTGTCCTTGAAGACTTATTGGAAGATATATTAGACAAAGACTTTAAAATAATGGTCTTAAAGATGCTGAAAGAACTAAAGGAAGATGTGGAGCAAGTCAAGAACATGATATGAACAAAATGGAAATATCACTAAAGAGAAAACCTAAAAAGAAACCAAAATGAAATTCTGGAACTGAAAAGTACAATAACTGAAATGAAAAAATCACTAGAAGGATTTAAAGGCAGATTTGAGTGGGCAGAACAATGAATCCGAGAACTTGAAGATAGGACGATGGAAATTATTGAGGTTGAGGAATAGAAAGAGAAAAGATTGAAGAAATGTAAGTACAGCCTAAGAGACCTATGGGACACCATAAAAAGGACCAAGATACGCATTGTGGGAGTCCCAGAAGGAGAATAGAGAGAGAAAGGGGCAGAGAGAATATTTGAAGAAATAATGGCTGAAAATTTCCCAATTTAAAGAAAGACATGAACATAAACATACATGAAGCTCAATGATCCCAAGTAAGATGAATTCAAAGAGCCCACACTGAGACTCATTATAATTAACTTTCAAAAGGCTAAGCCAAAGGGAAAATCTTGAAACAAGCAAGAGAAAAGCCAATCATCACATACAAGTGATCCTCAAAGAGATTTTCTGCAGATTCTCATCAGAAACTTTGGAGGCCAGGTGATAGTGGGCAGATATATTCAAAATGCTAAAAGAAAAAAACAGTCAACCAAGAATCCTAAATCCAGCAAAACTGTCCTTTAGAAGTGAGAGAGAAGTCAAGACATTCCCAGATAAACAAAAGCTGAGGGAGTTCATGACCACTGGACTTTCCCTGCAAGAAACGCTCAAGGGAGTCCTGCAAGGTGAAATGAAGGGACGCTAGACAGTAACCTGAAGCCGTGTGGAGAAGTAAAGATCTCAATAAAGGTAAATATATGGGCAATTATAATAACTAGTATTATTGTAACAAGTTTGTAACTGTACTTTTTGTTTTCTACATGATTTAAGAAACTAATACACTTAAGGAAAAAAATTAATAATGTAACAGCTAGTATTACTGTAACTTTGGTTTGTAATTCCAAATCTTGTTTTCTACATAATTTAGGAGACCATGAATTTTAAAGAATGATTTAGTTTATGTTTGGTGGCACACATTGTATAAAGATGTAATTTTGTGATATCAACAACCAAAAAGGGGTAGGGACAGAGTGTAAAGGAGCAGAGTTTTTGTATGTTACTGAAGTTAAACTGCTATAAATTCAAAATAGAATGTTATAACTTTGGGATGTTAATGTCACCCCTATGGCAACCACAAAGCAAATAGCTATAGAATATACACAAAAGGAAATTAAGAAGGAATTTAAACATTTCACTACAAAAAATGAACTGAACACAAAAAAAGATAGGAATGTAGGAAATGAAGGACAAAAAAAGTGATATCACAAATAGCACAATGAGAGAAGTCCTGCCTTATCAGTAATTCTTTAAATGTAAATGGATAAACTCTACAATCATAAGGCAGAGATTGGCAGAATGGATCAAAACACATGATCCAACTATATGCTGTCTCCAAGAGACTCACTTGAGATCCCAAAACATTAAACCATTTGAAAGTGAAAGGATGGAAAAAGATATTCCAGGCAAATAGTATATGGTATAGAGCAGCTCTGGTATAGAGCAGCTCTGGTATAGAGCAGCAGTGGCTATACCAATATAAGACAAAATAGACTCTAAATCACAAAAGGTATAAGAGACAAAGAAGAACATTATATATTAGTAAAAGGCTGAATACAGCAAGAAGATATAACAGTTATAAACATTTATGCATCTAATGGAAGACCATCAAAATATTTGAAGCAAAAACTGACAGAATTGAAGGGAGGGATTGACAGTTCTACAATAAGAGTTGGAGACTTTAATACCTTACTCACAATAATGGATAGAACAACCAGACAGAAGATAAGTAAGGAAATAGAGGATTTAAACAACACAATAAACCAACTAGATCCAACAGACATATACAAAACACTCTGCCCAACAAGAGCATACACATTCTTCTCAAGCATACATGGGACATTTAGCAGTATAAACCGTATGTAGGGCCACAAGTTAAGTCTCAATAGACTTAAAAAGATAAATATAATACAAAATGTCTTCTCTGATGACAATGGGATGAAATTATAAATCAATAACATAAAGAAAACTGAAAAATTTACAAAATTGTGGAAACTTAACAACATGCTTTTTAACAACCAATGGATCAGAGAAGAAATGACAAGGAAATTAAAAAATACTTAGAGACAAATGAAAACAGAAACACAACACACCAAAACATATGGGACACAGCGAAAGGAGTGTGAAGGGGGAAATGTATAGCTGTAAATGCTTACATTAAAAACAGGAAACATCTCATATCAACAACCTAAATTTACAACTTAAGAAACTAGAAAAAAAAAGAACAAACTA